CAACTGGAAGGAGTAGCATTTGTTCATCGATCTCTGATTTCAGAACACATTCTCAGCCACCAAAACTTGGCTGTGTCTTGTGCACTCAGCCCTGGTTAATTATGATTAACATGATGCTTCTGTTTTAACCACTACCATAGATGGGAAGTCTAAGACACTGACAGGCAGGACAAGGGCCTGGATCTAGCCCAAGTAGATGAAAGCCACTCTAATCCAATTAAAGACAAGCAAGCAACATTTGGTTGATAGGATTCCTTCATCCATTGCAACTACCAAGGGTACCTAGGTAGTTGATAGGCTTTTGATAGGCTCTCTGAGAGCCAGGATGGCGGCCAAAATTAACTCATACAAAAGGGAGGATGGGTTACTCTCTGGCTTATCATGGGCACCTTTCTTACATATTTCACTGACTTTCAAATGAATTTGAGACAGCATAGAAAACCCAAAATCAATAAAATAACAATGTATCATAAGAGATAACACCATTAGATGTTAACTACCTACTAAGCACACCTCTAAGAACGTTACAGACAAATACTTTTAAAAATCTTCCCCCAAAACCTTTTCAGGCACGCGCTATGCTTATATTCCACAAATTAAGGAAAAAATAAACGCGTCTTTTCTCCACAGCTGGCTTCACAGCTAATAAGTAGTACGACCGAGTTTTATATCCAACACTCAAGATTCTACTCATGACGTCAACCTGGTCACCAGGTTACATACACTGCCCTCCCTAAAACAAGGGTACAATAGTGAGAACAGGAGAGCTGTAACACCTGGAGGCACAGGCAAGGACAGGGTCACAACAGTAAGCAGAATTTCATCTGAATTCCTAATAACCAATCCCAACAGCAAAAAGATGAGGAATTGACCCCAGGAGGGTAACCAACTGTCCTAAGTTGGCTGGGACTGAGAGGATGTCTAGAATAGATGAGACAGATAGGGACCCTACTATTAAGGTTTTATAATCTTTTATTGGACCTCAGACAATTCAACCCAAAATACGTATGCTATTTTTTAGGTATGTATTGATCCCTCCAGCACCTTTCCCCAGTAGCATTGAAAATACTAAATACTGTTCAAAGCATTTTGCTTTCGATAAGGGAAAGGGTTGGGGAGGGGGGGGATGAAGCCCTGTTGATTGCTGGTTTTCAATCACCACTTCTGCCAGTGCATTCAAGTGTCTGGGTAAGAGGTTACACATGAATGCTGCATAAAATCTGCTCTTCTACGCTCAGCTGTTCTTCAATTTTCTTTCCTATGTTTAGATGTCATTTCTTCTTTGAAACACACACAAAACAAAACTCTCTAAAGTCACAGGCGGAGATCCAGACCAATGACCCTTAGAAGGCTTTCAAAGGCAACTTTGTCAGAACTTGCCAGTGAAAACCAGACCAACAGCAGTAAGAGACCGGTTACAGCCAATTGTTAACATCAGCTCTGAAATCAATAATGAACTTGGCATGAGGACATCCTGTTTATCTCTGCCCCCCAGCAACATCTTGCACATGAATACTGTTTTAACTATAATCCAACCTTAGTATGGTGGGGCTAAAAAATATATATATATCATTGAGGTAAGTTGTAAGTAAACTTAGACCAATAAATGGCCCAATGAGAAGTAGGTTATTCTTTATTTAGAGTGCAAAAAATCCTAACTTACCCCCAGTAGGTTGTATGAGTGAGGGGGGACAGGGGGAAACAAACAGATTTAAGGGGCTGGGATTTTGACACCAATCTAGGTGATCCGTCACAGGTCGTCCTAAGACATGCCTCAACGACTTCCCCTGTGTCAGGTAATAAAGGAACGCAAGTGTTTTATGAATCCCATGCAAAATAAGTAAGTAGCTAATCAAATGGTAATGACAAAATAGCTTTAGGGAGAGGAGCAAAGCTCTGCTGAGACATGTTGAAAATTTCAGAAAACCTGAACAAATATAAACTGAACAAGACTACAGTCACTCCAAACATGGCAACAGCTACTAGCGGTCAGTCACTGCCCTAGAGTGGCAAGCCCACAAAACCACAAGGTCCTCTCAAGCAAGTGAGCATATGGCCAAGGCAAAGGGGAATCCCATATGTGGACTATGAGCGTCTTCATGCAAATTTGCAAAAGGCCACGAGGTGATAGAAAAGATGCCATGAAAATCTCCCAACAACAAGCATAATTTCTCTTGTCAGGGTGAAACTCATCAACTGATGCACTGAGCGATCCATCAGGATTTCTGAAAATCTATTACGCGTTCAGAAGCATAATTCCTGCCTTTATGAAGTAAGCAAGATAGTCAAAAGAGGAAGGCATGTATGTAAACATACACATACATTTGATATATGTTTTTCTTGATATGTAAACACTTCAAAAAATTGGTGGAAAAATTCCATTGCGAAGGGTAAACAATTCCATTACATTTTAATTCCATTTTCCACACAATCTATACATGTGTATGTGTTGTGCACGTGAGCACATATGCACACATGGGCATCCCTCCTCCCTGGAGGAGTCTTGCTAGGACTGGGTTACAAGTTGGGCTACTAACCCTATGGTCAGTGGTTCAAAACCACCAACTACTCCACAGGAGAAAGATGAGCTTTCTACTCCCAAGACATTTTACAGCCTCAGAAACCCACAAAGGCAGCTCTACTGCGTCCTGTAGGGCACTGTGAGTCAGAATCATCTCAGTGGCAGTGTGAGTTTTATGGAGCAAAGTGGATTACGTGTGGGCGGCTAACTGTAAGGCCAGCAATCTGAAACCGCCAGTTGCCCTATGGGAGAAAGATGCGCTGGAAACCCTACAGCAGTCCTACTCTGTCCTACATGGTTGCTATGAGTCAGATGTAACTCAACAGCAGTAGATCTGGCTTGATATATTGTCAAGCGGATTCTTTCGTATAAAAAAGAATGGTGGTGGCAAGAAGTAATGTCAAGAGACTAGGAGTGTCATGTCAGGGCCCAATGTGGACGGAGGCTGGTAGAAGAAATGCTACAGAAATGGAGGGGCCTGGAGTCGTCTTGAGGCACTTGAAGAATAGCATGTACGTGGGCTGTCTCTGCTGGGAGTAAAAAAGAAAGGAATGGCACTGCGCCGGAAAGGCCCAAGGCATGTTCGTATGACAGTGAGCCAACATTGGGGCTGGAGTAGAGGAGTCAGGTGATGATGGTAAAGCTGGAGCCAGACTGTGAAGGTCCCTCTCTCTGTTCCAGGTCAAGAGTATCATAAAACATCTCCACAGTTGGGTAGGCAAAACAGACTTTTGCAAGCGGAATAATTTGATCCTTCAATTTTTTCTGAGCTACATCTAAGCAGGTCAGTTCTAAGGTTACAGGATTTTAGAAAGATGCGTGTGCCTTCACTGTGTACCAGAGAAATGTTGTGGGCAAGACTGAAAGGCCCAAACATTAGGCTGGGCCTCGCCACCAGTCATTCCCCAAGGACTTCAGATCAAGATATACTGCTTTTTGCCTGATTGGAAGCAGGATCTGCAAAGTTCTTGGTGAGCCCGGAATACAAAGCATCACACCACTGGCACACAGAGCTGACGTCTGGCCGGCACACATTTCATAACGTATTTGAAGCAGAGAGAAGGAAATGCATAAAAACGAAAGCGAGAGAGTTACTGAAGATGTGCACATAGCTATTCACCAGAAAAACTATTTTGACTGAAAAAAAACCATATTCATCTTTAAAATGTTTCTTTAAAATCCTAAGGGCTCAACTTTTCATAATCATGATTATACCTCAACATAAAAAATATTAAATTGTTTGGAAGTAGCTCCGCACTTATGAATGGCAATGCCGTTTTGTTTTGTTTTGTTTTGCTTTGACCTGAGCGTGTCACTTTCCCGTTGACCCCTTTGCAGAAATCTCATTGCAGGGAAAGGAATGACTCTAGAAAATTCCCTGTAGAAGGCACAGCCTCGTGCCTACCCAGACAGTCCAGGGAAAGACCTTTTGTTGGGTTAGTGCTTCTAAATTTAAGCGGGTATTATGACTGTGTGTGTGTGTTTGGGGTGGGCTGGGGGTCTCCTACTTTTTAAATGGTCAACTAAAACAATTACTTTTTTTAAAGAGCTTGTGGCTTGGTCATGCCCCAGTTCTGCCAGGAGTGGCAAAAACAGTCAACAGAGCTCTAACCTCCTTTCTCTCTCGACTACACAATGGTTTTCAAAGAGGTTCAGGCCTCCTATGAAAGGCCCATGTTAGACACTGGCAGGCTCTCACAGAGAATGAGCACCAGGCCCTAAATAAACAAGGGAGGTGGTGACCTTTTGCCCCCTTCTGCTCAAAGCCCAGCACAGACTATAGCAGAGGACCCGAAAGAAGTTGGTGTACCAACCAGGTGCTACAAAATCCTTGCCTGAGTTTCTCTCCCAATATGGCTTAAACCGCGTAAGGGAGTGAGAAAAAGTGTAATCCTTAGGACCAACTGTTCCACTGTCCCTTCATCCTGTTTCCCTCATTGTTCAAGTCTTGCAGCATGCAACACACATTTTACCAGCAACAGGCAAGACAACGCATTGAGCAGTGACTGGACAATTAGGACCAATTAGGCCTATTTCCCAGCTGAATGTAAAGGGGTAATCGACTGAGGTATGGGTAAAAACACTACCGAAATTATGAAGCTATATTTCATCATGGAAGCAAGTAATACCACGCAAAGCAAGCTGAGTGGGGATCAGGAGGCTGTCCAAATGGACTGAGTGGCATTACACCTGGGCTTTCAATTTCTCTGTTCTCACCTATGAAACCCGGAAGACCTACTCCACCATCCCTCAGGGGAAGTGAATGTCTAATGTCAAAAGATTGCTAAAAGTGCTAGGGCAACACAACATGTTACACAGATAACCTGTAAGTTGTGTTTGGAGCCACAGATACATCTGTTTGTGTTGCAAATGATCTTAATGCCTATTCTCCTCAGTGGAAACCACTGGTAGCTGTTTTCAGTACTTTATTTACATTTTCTTGAGTGCGGATTATTTTAAGGTCATGAGCCATACTTACATGTGCACATGTGGTGGCTGGAATCGGCTCTGGTTGATGTTGTAGTGAGTGAAGGCCTGGGTGGGGTTTGAGCTATACTCATCCACCGTTACGGTAACTTTGCCTTGAGAAGGAATCCCATGTGCCATCCTTCCTCCTTATCGGCATGAGCAATTCACAACTTTCCGGAACAAAGGATGGAAGCAGGCATGGTGTGTTTCAGCCAACCTCAGAATCCAAGGACCTCCTCATAAACACCGCTGTGAATTTCTGGAAAAAAAGAAAAGGTTTACAATGAGAACAAAGAGTAAGAAGGTCTTCGAAGAGATTTGAAATGTGATATTTCAACTCAAATCTGGTTCAGGAAAAAAATATGCACCTTTGTCACTGCTTCGTGGATACAACGGTTCCCAACACTTCCCTGCATACACTTCCGAATGGACACTGCACCTGACATGACATTGTCGCCTGCCAGCAAATCATCTCAATGGCGTTCGAACTGAGTTTTCCTCTTTAATTATAATTATGGCACTTAATGTGAATTACGGAAGGGGCACAGTCACAGTTGCCATGGTGTCTAGCTATAAATGGCTTGTGCTCAAAGTGGAGAATCTTCCAAACCTTCCCTGCTAATTGGAACGTTTGGTCTCTGCAAAGTTGGTGTCATACAATAGCTGGACATCACAGTGATTAAAACAGCCATGCAACACAAAGACAAAGGTACGTGTAAAGATACTATACTCATCACAGATATCTGTGTCTAACTGCAATGCACATGCAGGATGTACCCCCTACACCTACATACCTGTTTCTTCCTCAAACCGCTCCCCCAAGTACTTAGGTACTCCATGCCTAGTCTGCACAGGCGCTCAGGCCAAGCACTCTGGGGCAATGCGATCCCTCCCCAGCAAAGATAGGCTCATTTCTTGCAGCACACTAACATCTCAGGGAAAGCCACACACATGTAGACCTGCACCACTACTTTGGATGCCTTCATCACCTGCCCCCTTAGGGCATAAAGGGGGGCAAGCAGTCTATCTGCTTCCTTGTTCACGGTGCTGCAGAATTCCCAAGAGTTGGTTTCACTTTTCCTTTCTGTAATTTCCATGAGCTCCGACTCTATAAATGTCAATATATGGTTTGCTGCACTGGGTCCCAACAGGAAGATGCCTTTTTTTACAGCAGGTGTGCAAAGCCTAAGGATAGGAAGTCTCTGCACTGAAGCTGTCGTGAATGATCAGAGAAGTAGCAGGCAGCATGCTGCTTGGGGAAGGTACCCTCTTACGTGAAGTGCCCTGTATCACAATCCATGTGCACCATTAAGCTCCAGGACTCTTAGCTGCTATCTAAAATAAAAATATTTAGAATAATAAGATTGGATTTTAAATTGGCATGAAACACCTTAAAATGTTGAGAAAAAGGCAGATGGCCTGCCATAGGCCATTTATTTTATTATTTTACAACCCGGGGCTTGTGTAGTCCCCCATATGCTGGCTGGGCTAAGAAATTCCTCAGCGCGCTACTCAAATCATTTCCTTCTTCGTCTTAGCAAAGCGAGCTAATAACACCCACCTTGCCTACCCTGTTCATGTGCAATCGCACTGCCAAGACATGAATCCCTGGTGCTCTGGCATTTTAAACAATGTCACTTGGGGGTCTCTTTCTACTTCCTCACTTCCTAGGAGATATGAGTCCTTTAAATACCAGGTGATAGACAACCAGTCTAGCAGGATTAACTAAATTAAAATCTTTCCCGGCTCCTCTGATGTAAGATATCTATAAGAACTGCTTACAAATCATAATGTAGCAGTTTTCATACCAAGTTTGCAGCTGTTTCCTTAATTCCCCCCCTCAATTATATTTTACTGTTATTTTGCATCACAGTAAAACACAACACCTGCTTCAAATTGCAGTCCTGTTCTAAGTACTGTAATTCTCTTTGAGACACAAAGTACCGAGACACTACTGAAGCGCAAAACTGCATAATTGCGTGGCGCTGAAAAGTAAATACAAATGAAAACATCTTCCTGTTATAGAAATGACTGTCATTAAAGAGAATGTTAGCCATCAAAGCCCAGAGGAGGAAAAATACACATTTTTCAGACTGTGAGAACTTAATGTTTGCATAAATTAGAGAGTGGTGTAAAAATTACATGGCAATTCTTATGTTCCTGCCATCAATGCCTATTGTGTAAAAGATAGAACATTCAGCCGCAAAGGAAACCAAATTCATGTCTAGCTCACTGTAACCTGAGTGACAATTCCATTGCACTGAGTGCCAGAAACGGTCTACAAGCCCCCCAGTAAACTCACTAATTAAACTAAGCTAAATATGGCCTAAGGTGGCACAATGGTTAAGCATTCTGTGCTAACCATAGAGTCAGCAGCTCAAACTAACCAGCCACTTTGTGGGAGAAAGATGTGGCAAAATGCTTCGGTCAGGATTTCCAGCCTTGAACAACCTATGGGCAGTTCTGCTCTGCCCAATGAGGTTGCGATAAGTCAGAACTGACTTAACCATCAACTGTTTGTTTGTTTGTTTGTTTGTTTGTTTGTTTGTTTGTTTGTGGGGGGTTAAGAGTAGCCTAGAAAGTAAAGCATGCATATCTATATTTAAAATCCATACAATGACTTTTGATAGTTACCCTTAGATTTCCCCTTCTCGAGTTCTCATCTTTGACGCCAAAAGATACAGAACTTTTAACAACCAATGCCCAATCCCTCCGCTGTCTGCTCCAGCCCAAAGTCATCCTACTCGTCACCTTTCCTGTCCGTGAACCTCTGGGCCTCTTGGCTCCTTTGCCCCAGCAAGACAAATAGAACATCTTTCATCAGCCAGTGCAGACCAGTCTAACTCTGAAAGGCTAAATGGGTGGCTGGCACCTCATTTGAATTCATCTTTACCATGTTCCCTTTCAAATGCTTTATCGAAAAAGTGCACCTGCAGTGTCTATCTTCTTTAATCTGGAATCCTTTGAAGAAAATGTCAGACTGAGGGAGAGAGCTTCACAACTTTCACAGGCACCTTTGCAGAGAGTTTAAGAAAGGGCTTACTTTTTAAAAATGCTGTATTCCCCCCAGCCCACATCTCCAAATGAGCGGAGTCTAAGAATATTCAACACAAACACACAGAAAGTCACTGCGCTCTTGGTAAACTGAGAATGGACAAGAACAATAAGTCACAGTCACCTCTACTCAAACTGAGAATTTGAAGGAAAGCTTGAAACAAGACAGACAGACACTGCCTCAAATTGCCAAGAAATGATATCTTGTTTCACATATTTTGGCAGTAAAATCTTCCTGAGGATCAGCTTTTAGTGCACCTCACCCTGGCCACAGTTACATTTCTTCTTACATACAACGTTTAAAGAGAGCACTGTTCATTTTTATTTGTTTTAATTGGCATTTTATACATCAACACGTTTCTTCCACAAAACAAAGAAAACCAGTACTAAATGCCAGGGAGCCTCAAGACAAATCTAAAAGGGATTGACGTTGCTGCCAAACGTTCATGCTGGTGCAAGTTTGATTTTCTCTTTAAAGAAAAATCATGTGAGCACATTTTGCATTCCTAGACAGCAATCATTTCTCCGCTTCCTCAAATTGTGCAACTGCTATGTTCTTTTCCAGGAATCTAATTGGGAAACCTCTTAAAGTCTACTGGCAATGAAAGGATTAAAAGCCGAGGAATAAAATAACTTTGTCTCCAACTCCTAGAATTCACCTAAAGTTTCAAAAGAACGACTCGTGACCTCTCTCCCTGTCCCCCACGGCACAGTCTATAAGAAAAAGAGCCCGCGATTTCCTCTCTGTACAAGGATGCTCATTTTAATCACTTGCCCCAAGAACGCAAGACAGCTCGACCGGCTGGACTTTGGAACCAGCATGCCCCAATTGAGCCAAATTCTTCCCTCTTCTCCCTTTGCCGCCCAAGTCCCCTGCTCTTTATCCCCCCCACCCACCCTCACCCACCCACTACCACCTCCAGTTACCCCTCCCTGAGCCCAGGGCAGTGCCCACTCGCCCCGCACCCCCATCCCAGGCTTTTGCAAGGATGCTCACACCAAGTTCCACGTGCCTCTATCCACAGGACTCCCTCCCTTCGCTGCACTTACACCTGAACTTGGCTCCAGCAATGCGGACACCCAGCTGGCACATTCTTTCAAAAAGGGAGAGGAGCAAGACTTTTTCTCCCGCGCCTCAGGCAACCTGTGGTGTCTATATATGGTGGGGCGCGTTTGGGGGGTGGGGGTGGCGGGATTCTCCACTTTGGATTGGTTTGTTTGTTTTAAATCTAAGTTTGGCAGTTGGGGTGGGGTGGGGAGGGGGCTTCACTCACTCATTCACCCACACACTCATTCACCCACGCACTCATTCACCCACTCCCTCGGCCTGCCCTCCGGGCTCACGGGCGGCTCGTCCGGGCCACAGCCCCCCCCTTCCTCCCTGCAGCACCAGCTCGCCTTACTCGCTCAGTCCCTCGTTGCCGCCGTCGCCTCCGCTGCAGCCGCCGCTGCTGGCATCGCTGGCGCTGGCGCTCGCCGCCCCAGGCTCCGCTGGGCGCCTGTCTTTCTTTCTCTCCCTCTCCCCGAGCCCCGGAGTGATGGATGATCACCAGCCACCAACGGCTCGGACACTGTGCCATGCCTGCGCGGGCATCGCAGTCCCGCGGTCCCGACCTCTCCCGGGCGGACGGGCGGCCCCGAGCCCCAGGAGTCGCGCCGGCGCTCCGAGCAGCCGCCGCCGCCACCTCCCTGCACTCCGCCCGGGAGCGGCCAGGCCCCTGCTCGGCGCGGCGGCGAACGCAAGGGCGCCTGGAAGCGGTGCGGAGCCCACGGGATTTTGATCCTCCTCGGAAGAAATCTTTCCTTTCACTTAAAGTTTTGTTTGCTTTTTTTCCCCGCGTCCTGACCTGTTTGTGTTTATTTGTTCGCAGCAGCATCTCAAATCAATTACCCTTTGTTTTTTGTGTTTGTTTTTTCCCATGTCTGTATTTGTCTTTCATGTGGGGGTGCGCTGGGTAGTCTGGGGGGCGTAAAATGAGTTATACGTGAATCCAGCCTTCATTTCTTCGCTTGCAGATGGATTTCAACACCCCCACCCGCCTCTCGAGTGCCCAGGAAAATGCCCCCCAGTCCCTGCGCGGCCCGCGGACCGCGGACTGCCAGGCGGGACCACGCTGACCCCGGGCTAGGGAAAGGGTCGACAAAGTCCGGCCTCGGGGTCCAAGGCGTCGGGCCACCGGGCTACTTTGGTCG